TATATGGGCTCTTTGTGATTTGCTACATGTGACAAAAACAAAATTGAAAAATAAAAACATTGTGACGATTGACCAGGGGCGGGATGGTGAAAATGTAACTTTATAACTAATCGAGGCGATCTCACATTTCGCATATTGGCTAACCAATATCAGAGTGACATTAATCCCACAATTTAGGGGATATACTTTCAGGAAATGCAGATGATAATAAATCGCTTTCTATCCAGAGACCATATCTCCAATGTATAAATAAATGGATTTTTACTTGGCAGAGATTCTAAATAGACGGAGAATATTAATGATGCCAATGCGTCGCATGACAAATCATTAGCCTCATTATTTCAGTCGTAAACTCATTATTCTGTGTAGTGAGATACATCAATCTCGGAGGAATCTGTCTTAACGAGATTCGAGCCAAATTAATGTCATGTTCATCATATTTTTTCATTTGTATGAGCTCATGCAGTCAGGTACCGGAAATAAAACAAAAAAACCTACAGTTGATATCACCGGATTATCACACAGTCCAAACATCATCAATATGGTGCATTCTTACACCGGTTTCTATGGTAATTCTTCGTATCCAAAAATCTTGCTCGGTGACATGGTATAAACAGTCCTATATCATTATTGATTTTTAAGGTTGATAATATTTTACAAATGGGAGGCTATCTCACATGATTTGCATATACCTTAAATTTAAATTGTCTTAAACTACATACTGCGTTTAAAACTGCGATTACAAAATGATGATACTTCTCACATAAATCAACGTTATACATTCAGATCATACTGCGCATGTGAACAAAAAAAAACGTTCAACGTTCAACATTCTGGGTTTATCTGTTTTGACTTCCGTAAAGCATTCAATATGATCGAACAAAAGCGCTCCAGTAAGTTCAAGTTTGACACAATTTAATCCGGTATATCGAGGCCATTTATAACGGAAGCCGGAGCAACGTTCTTTATAATTAGCGCATACTCCGCCACATCAATTTCCCTTGCGTGTACAATTCATCAGGAATGTCCACTCTCAACAATGTTTCTATTTGTGGCGGAGACTTAAGATATCAAGGTGATGCAGGTAGCGGATGATTAACACCATTTTTGTTTCTATCGAGCACGAACCTCATAAACCTATTAATCTACTCAATAAATTCAGTTAACATACTTGACTAAAACTTAACCTGACAAACTGTATTTTATTTCTTTTCCTTTACTTAATTTTGAGCTACATTTTTTCAGGATAATGCTGCTTTAACTTGATTTTGTTGCGCGTGTGTATAGTGTGTGTTGGTTTTGCTGCCTTCCCATCTCCACATTCTGCCATTTCTAATGGTGAACCCCTAAAATAAAGGATTAGGAGAAATTACGTGCATGAACTACCGTAGAATGCGGCGTTTCTATCCACATGGGAGCTTGGGGAATAAAAACAAACCTAAGTGAAACTCGTAAAGAGCTTTGGAATGTACTGACATTAAACGTGCGGCGCTGCGCGGGTCGCGACCTTACCTTGTCGTGATATGGCCGTGAATGAAAACCCCTTTGCGGTACTGCCGTAAACATGAATACTTTTATGACACATGTAAATCAAAATCGCTTCATAGTATCAAAAATATGCCCTGGTAATTTGCATAGCATAAAAATAGTCGTTATTTCAGCACTGTTTCGTCGCAGACATGGGTAATATAAACGAGATTACTGTAAAATATTGTGATCGTCAATGAACAATTGAGGGCAATACATCTTTCCAGCGGCGCAGCAGTAACGAGTCGCATTCTTGGAATAATTCGATTACAGCTCACATGGTACTCGCAAACACACTAGCATGAATGGATAAATGCGTTTATTCTGTGACGTCGCACGCGATTTATGTATCATCAATGAACGGTTACCAAGGAAACAATCGCCAGTCATCTACGACCTCGTCTGCGTTGCCAAGGAACTCTGGAATAGCAATTTATTTTCGTATTTAGACTATATGTCAGGAATTCCGGATAAAAAGGAACCGACAAGACTTAGTGTTATTCATTCATTCATTCATTCATTCATTCATTCATTCACATTTCATGCACAGCTAAGAAGGGTTAATGATTATTTCCAGCTCAACTACAAATTGCCAGAAAAAAACAAATTAATGTAATTATTCGTAAATTGTTTACGGGTGGGCTGTCATTGACAACTCCGAGCTGTAATATTTCTTCTCGGACTCGATAACAGAGGTATCATTTTTAAAACAGTATTTCTCAAAACATTTCAATATCGTATATGTAAGCGCTTTTGTATAATTCAAATATGTAATCAAAACGATCAAAACGTATTTATTTTTATTTGATACTGTATGTTGAAAACCAAATTGGATTATGGTTTAACGTAAATTAAAAACGTTATTTTTGCATCACACACAAGAGGAATATAAGTTTATTCGGTAAAAAAAAAAAAAAACGAACCAAGACAATCAGTGCACATTTGTTTTAGAAAATTACATAGTTTTTCATTCTACTTCAAATTGACGCAACTCAGACAACAATTTATTTGTAAAACTAGATAAGGTTTGTTCTAATTGATACATGAAACACAATCGACTATTAAAATACGCGTACATATCAATGAGTTGCCAGTAGGTATGTACTTAGAAGAAACAGTGACCGAATTTTCCATGGCTCATTTGAGTTTGAGCGCTAGTATTGTCAGAGGATAGAGTAAACACGAACATTTGCAAGATATCGACTACTAAAGATACTAGGATTATCGTCAGTCACCAATCGATCGATCGATCGCCAGTATAAACAATAATACTTTGTCAATTCTCTAACTACTTCATATACGTTGTGCATATATACACCAGTCACAGC